ATTTCGATTGATGTGTAAAAAATGCTTATTAAAGGATCTGAAAATATACAAAAACTAATAAATATAGAAAATATTCAAATTTCCATAACAATCATAATTAAATGAAACACCTACTAAAAAATCACACCATAATAAAGGAATATTAAATGCTATACCTACTATATAATAAAAGTTCATTAAATGTAATGTCTGCTAAAACAGTCTCACCTTAATAAAGGTGTGGAAAAAAAATTCCAAAATTATGCTGTACATTTTTTATAATGTAAATATACACGATTAATGCATTACTATTGCTCTAAAGTGTATTTTAAAAAAGAGAACCTCTGCACCTGCGCTGAGGGCCAGAGGAAATGTCGAGACGGGGCATCGGGAGGCGGGAGTGTTTGGAATGGAGTTAAGAGGCTGGGAGAGCATGGATCAGGAAATTGGCGTTCACGGCGGCCTAAGGATTAATATAGGTCTCACTTCATAATAGGAAGTGTCGTAACTGTTCCTGGTGAAGAGTGGGGAACGTGATTTACGGGACTGCTGTAATAAGTGGCAAAACGAGTGAATAATGGTAGATGCCATGGAGTGTTCAGGGGAAAATATCTGCTATATAATTATCACTCATCGGTCTCAAATCTTAAAGTGTCGACCTCTAACGTGTGTAAAATTTAAGAGATGTTAAATCGTCTTGTGAATTGTAATGTAATCGATGATAATAACACTAAGTTAAGAGAATGAGTGAAGTGAAATAAGTCGCCGTTCTTCGAGTGAACACATGTTACCTCGTGGTCGCTGTCCCGAGGATAGTGAAGTTTTTATGGAGTCACTACTTCTAAACCGGGACAAACCAACGGATACCTCGTCCTGCTGAAATAAGAACCGTATCGGTGTAGCAGGACATCGAAATGAGATGGTGAATGGAGGAAATCAGGAGCATCAATCACCCACAGTTGAGTAACCCTTCTAGTTATAACAGACTGATACTGGCCAGTTAGGTATGTTGTAATTTGATCGGTCGTGGGTGATCCAGCTATATCAAGTGACCACCAGAGAATATCTGCTAAGTGGTGGTATTATATACAAGTGTTTTTTCCTTGATGGATATGTATGTGTGTAATCTACCCTTCACTTTCCTTCAGTCAAACCAATATAATTTATACAGTCCACAATTAATTAGTAGCGCCGTACTTGCGGGTGCTATCCACTTCATACTGGTCTCGGATAGATGTGGATAAGACTGTGAGGTCGAAGGAGCCACCTGCAGTGACCAGGGGTGGTTAAGTTTTCTCACATGTCTACACGGGGTAACTGCTGTAATCAACAATATGGTTAATGTCTCCCAATGAAATTACTTGTTGAATGTAATGTTGAGGTACATACAGGTAACCCCTATAAAAGGTACATTAATATAATAGTTACTAAGACAATATTCACCATAATAAAGCTTCATTAAACAGTGACGGTGACAGTGAGATACTTCAGCCGTCTAAAAATTCCCTCAGCTTGCCTGAATAGTAAGAAAAATACTTCTGCTTCAGGACGGTCTGCTAATACCAAGCTGACAGCCGCCTCTCAGCCTCCAGGCCAGAACTTTTGGCACCGCGCCTGACATTGAAAAACTGGAAAATTTAAATAAACTCTCATATTTGACAACATCCATCTATGTTCTTACTGACAACAGCAGAAAATTGAATTTGTTTAATACAGAATAATAAATTATTTTTATTAACATCAACAACGGAATTGATGTGGGTAACATAGAGTCATTACGAGACTAAATTACTCAATAAACACTGCACTAGACTGTAGTATCTTTATTATTAATATATCAGTAACACAAATGTTTTAAAAGATAAAATGACCTTAATTATAAACAACCTGAATAACAAGGAAAATGTATAATATAAGCAAGTAAGAACTTCGCTCTGACTCACATGTTGCAACTAAATTTATTAAAACTTCAACGGTGTTTATCACGAAGGCAAATTAATTAACAGTTTTTTTTTATATAAATCTTATTTCTATTTAATTTTTTTCTGATATTAAGTGTCCAGTACCATGAAAGTGACGTTTAACGAGACTTCCATCAACACTGATGTATATGTTGGAAATATTATTATTATTATAATCAAAAAGAAGCCACAAGGGCTTTACAGTGTTGGAAACATTAGTTCCCAACAATACCTGTACACGGACAGTTGCAGTTACATGACCTGAGCCGCAGTGGACCGGCACAGGTGGGGATTAAGGTCGCGGCAATGAGTCATAAAATAGGCTGACGTGCTGGCCTGGAGTTTTACCACCCACTTGCCACGAGTTCCATCCCTGTCCGTACCGTGCATTGTTTGCAAACGTGTCATTACGATTTCGTGAGTCACAGTAAACATCCTATTTTCTTTCAATAGTCCTCCGTTCAGTGGAAGTGACTTGACGCTGGTGAACGGCTCTTGGTCCAAGGAACTGAACCAAATCTCTCTTTCCTTCGAAAAAGTCTGATTACCTTCCGTTCTCCAAAAGCTTTATTTTCAATATGGGTTTAGTGCCTTCATGTAAATATAATAATAAATTCGACAAACATCATAGTCTAAATTCTAGAGGTTTTGTTACCTAAGACATTTGATTTGAAATTTAGTAATAACTTGGGATGTACCAAAGTATCATTATCAGTATAGGCGATTATCAGATATTTTTACATGTGCACTTTAAAATATTGACATTAACATTCTACCTCACGATTGTGGGAGTTACTCATGCACTCACACAGACACATTCAGACACAAACAGACACACATACACAAAGGTGAGTATACACACACACACGGGTATGGTACACCAACGCTGATGGAATAATGAGTAAGTGGGAGGAGTGGCATGAAAGAGTCAAAGAGACATCACCAGACATCATAGCTCTCACAGAAACTAAGCTCACAGGAATGATAACAGATGCCATCTTTCCAATGAGATATCAAATCCTGAGGAAGGACAGAGGGAACAAAGGGGTGGAGGAGTGGCACTACTCATCAAAAACCAATGGGATTTTGATTAGCTGGAGAGAGGAGACAGAGAAGAAGCAAGAGATTACATAATAGGAACACTCCAGCCTGGAGGCCAAAAGGTGGGAATTGCAGTGATGTATAACTCATCACAGAACAGTAGGAGGCCAAGGCAAGAGTATGATGAGAGTAATAGAGTGATGGTTGACACACTGGCTGAGGTAGCCAGAAGGGCTCATGCGAGCAGGGCAAAGGTGCTGATCATGGGTGACTTCAGTCACAAGGAAATCGACTGGAAGAACCTGGAGCCGCATGAGGGCCAAGAAACGTGGAGAGCTAAAATGATGGACATAGTATTGGAAAACCTCATGTACCAACAAGAGACACTACCAGAGAGAGAGGGAAGAATGAACCAGCAAAACAGGACCTAGTATTCACCTTGAGTTGTGCAGATATTTAGGACTTCATATATGAAAGACCACATGGTTCTGGTTTCGAATATATAGTAGAGTTACAAGTGGAGAGGGAAGCAGGAAGGGCAGGATGAATGAAGCCAAACTGCAAGAAGGGACACTACAGGCATGATGAATTTCCTGCACGGAGTTCATTGGGATAGAGAACTGGCAGAAAGTCAGTAAACAAGATGATGGAATATGTGACAACAATATGCAAGGAAACTGAGGAGAGGTTTGTACCAAAGGATAATAGAAACACCGAAGAATCCAGGACGAACCCTTGGTTCACCAAAAGGTGTAGAGAGGCCAAAACCAAGTGTACTAGAGAATGGAAGAAGTATACAAGGCAAAGGGCCCAGGAGAATAAGGAGAGCAGTTGTAGAGCCAGAAATGAACTGTGCACAGGTAAGAGGAGGAGGCCCAATGACAATATGAAAATGACATAGTAGCGAAAGGCAAATCTGACCAGAAGCTGTTGTACAGCCACATCAGGAGGAAAACAACAGTCAAGGATCAGGTAATCAGGCTGAGGAAGAAAGGAGGAGAGATCACAAGAAATGGCTGCAAAGTACGTGAGGAGCTAAACATGAGATTCAAAGAAGGGACTCCAGAAAGATGAACAGGCGGGTTATGCCATCAAGTGTTAGACACAATATATACAACCGAGGAAGAAGTGAAGAGGCTGCTAAGTGAGCTAGATACCTCAAAGGCGATGGGGCTGGATAACATCTCTCCATGCACTATGTGTACCACTAACAACAATCCTCAACACGATTGCCTGAGGTATGGAAGACAGCAGA